CTCTCTCTCTCTCTCTCTCTCTTGTGGCCGTCCACGCCAGTGGAAACACCGTCCCCGAGCTGGCAATTTACCGGTCTGACAACGCGACTTCGTGAGCCACGATTTGCAGCTACACGTGTTCCCAGTCGACTTCACTTTGTGTTATTTCGCGGCCGTAAATCTTCGGCTTTGAATTTTAAGCGAAAAGTTTCGATCGAGTTTCACTGTCCCCCGTGGTTGTCGTTTTCGCACCGTTTACCAGCAAGTGCGCGCCAGTAATCGGTGAACTCGAGTTGGCAAGCTCAGTTGCGACGATCCATGAAAAAAATAATCCATTCGCCAACGTTTACCTCGCGCGTCCCTACTCGCATCTGCTTTTTAATCTCGTGCGCGTCCGAGCGTAGCAATTACCGGAACAACAAGTAGAACAGATTCTCCAGCTTTTTTTTTTTTTTTTTTTCTTACCGAGCTAATTTATCTCGAGCGAGTCATCTCTGTGTAGCAACGAGTGTATCTCGCTCGCGATAACATGGTCACACAGAGCTTCGTAAAGGTGTTACCTAAAATCCGTGCTTCTTATTTCTCTCGGCCACGCGTTATGTCGTGCACTGTTCTCGGTTATCGGTGGAATCTCTCTCCTGGATAAAAGAGAGAGAATCCTCTCGGAGAACACGGAGAAGAGACACATGCATAAGTTCGATCTTTCCCAGCAGCGTTTTGTATTCCAGCAGCTTCCGATGGCTTTATTACCGAACGAGACGTTTCCAGCGACAGACTTCCAGAAAGGGCTGCCCGACTTCTAACGATCCTTTCTTTCGTCCATCCTTATCTCTCGGTTACCGTGGAACGTGTTTCGCATAAGCATTCGACGAACGCGCGTTAACCGAATTTACAAGATTTCTTCTTTCAGTGGTTGGTGCAACACCAACGTCTCCAGCCAGAATTCCACCGATCGTTTGATCGCCCGTGAAAATTTTGACAACGCGTAAATATTTGTAATCCAATTTCTACGGACTAGTCGTACACGGTCGAGTTCGACTTGTTGGATATTTAATAATGAAATTTCAATCCTTTGCCCTCGATAAACTTTTTTTATATCATCCACCGGCAGTTCATTTACGAAGCATCATTTCAAATAAAACGACATACATTTCGTTGGAAATAATCATTCAAATGGTATTTAACAGGAAATTTTATCTTTCTAGCATGTGGTGTCGTTTAAATTTAAGGCAATTATTTAAGCAATAAGAAGACTATCAGGAATTGTTCCTAACAGGAAGTGACTCAATATTTCGTAAAAAGAAGAAAGCCACCATACAAAACATTCTTCTTTAAACTATGCTGTTTATGTTAAACATAACAACAAAACTGTATGATCACTTTGTTATTACTTAAAGGTTATGTTGTGTGTCATACAACAAACTGAAAATCATTTGTACCTTTTTCAAGAAATAATATTTATTTCGTAATCGGTCATTTGACCACTCACGATAATAATTGCACATGGTTAGTGTCAACAGTTTGAGTAGAAATCCAACAGTCGAATTTCATACCGGCAGAGATCAGTATGGTGAAGGAGTCCGCAGTGGTGATAATCTGCACGAACGAAGTCGCGCCAGGCGAGAAGCCGAATGTGAAGCACAATTTGAAAGTCTTCAAGAAAATCATACCAGCCGTGGCGAGGTTCGCGTGCAAATCGGTTCTCCTGGTCGTTACGCAACCGAACGAGGTGATGTCATACGTCGCTTGGAAACTGTCAGGATTTCCCTCTAACCGTGTCCTGGGTATCGGCACTGTGATAGACTGTACGAGATTTCAAGATTACCTAAGCCGAAGAGTAAACGTGGCGCGAAGTTCGGTGACTTGCATGGTGGTCGGAGCGCAAGGAGATATGGCTGGTATTTTATAACCAGGCAACAAATGCATTATCGCATACCGAGTGACGTATGTTTCTGTAGTTCCCATATGGTCGAGCGTCCACGTAGGTGGAATGAAGCTTCGCGATATAAATCCGAGGATAGGCGAGCAAGACGACCCCGAGAAGTGGTACGAAATCGCGGACAACGTGAAGAACGTGTGAGTGATCGTTAAAAGGTGAAAGGAGATCGTTTAGGCTTATTTTGCGCGTGCACGTTTCAGTGGCGCGCAACTGGAGGGGAAGAAAGGATCGTGTTGCTGGGGAGTCGCTGTCTCCACGGCGGAGATCGTCGATGCCATTGTCAGGAACACCAAAGTCGTGCTTCCCGCGTCAACGCACATTCTCGTGAGTCGAAATCCTTCAGATTGTTACGAATTCCGAATTTTCGACGATCACACCAATAATATATCTCCCAACGGAACGTTTTTATTTATTTATTTATTTATTTATTTTTTTTTCAAATCAAGTTTTCGTACATCGCCAGGTGTACAGTTTATCAGGTTTTCAACGTTTGTGTAATCAAACAATAAATGTAGACGTTCTCCAAAGAAAGGAAACACACTGTTCGCAGAGTTGCGCTCACGGCACGGACAAGGACGTGTACATGTCGGTGCCCTGCGTGATCGGTCGAGAGGGTGTCTACTGCACGGTGCGGCAGAAGCTGTCCGAACAGGAGAAATCCGCGGTGCAGACGTGCGCCGACAGTATTCGAGGCATACTACGAGAATGTGG